CTTGCTTTCTGTGCACTTCTGGTGCAAGCTATCCGGCAACCAGCAGCTAGCTTAGCCCGGTCCCTACTGACCGAGTAAGGAAGGCAAAGGGTGCCAAAATTAAACGCGATTCAGAGCGACCCCTCCTTGTCAGCTATGAAAAAAGCTATTATAGTTTCATTTTAAAATCAGATATTATTTAACACTTTTCCAATTCAGTTTAGCTTGAGTTCGTTTCCAGAGTGGGTGAAGTTACTAAATTGTGAGAATTATTTTTCTGTCAATCCTAATTTCAATTATTTGCCTGTATGTATCAGGACATTTTGTTAAATTGATTGTTTTTCCCAAGGTAACATCTCTCTGAGTGAGACCAGGCTCAACACGTTTTGGTTTATGCTCTAAGTACCCCGAGTTGTGTTCAATTTTGTATCCATAACAAGTCCTTAATTGGGGTGGCATAAGGAGGACCCACAGGAAAAATAAAGTAAAGCAAAACTGTCATTGAAAAATACAAGCTTTTAATAATAGTAATTAATAACCCATTAGCATTATATAAAAACGCAGTACTGCATAACAGTGTAAAAGTCAGTTGCTTAGAAATATGTAACTTTTTTACCAAGTAGAAAATCAGGTACACCCATTTACCTACTTAATATGACGAACTTCTCATCCAACACCAACTCAACACTTCATGTATAGCCTGATTTATTCCTAAAATAGTCCTCGACACACTGGGTTTTCACAGTATAGTGAACAAATATAGTTGTTCAATGTCTGAAAACATTTCACAAATGTTATTCTGTAGTGTTAAAATTTACATGATGCAGTTTATGTTCTCTGAGATTCTTCTTCACGTCACTGAGTTAGATGTTGAATAGTTTTCATCAGTTACAATCTATCAAATATTTAAGCATTTGCCCAAGCAATGCAGCCCAACGAGAAGCAACAGTGTACAGTCTAAAACCCCTTATTTGAATGACAATTTCAGCAAGAGAAGACAGATTAAAAACCAAAACAAAATCTTTCCGCACCTATTGGATCTTTATTACTTTAAAAATTATGTTCAAGTAAAAATACAAAAAACTAACTAACTTTGCCAGCATGCATGGAAAACAAAAATCAGTTATTTCAAAACTAAGAACATCTCATTTACAGTCACAAAACTGCCAGCTTGTTTTCTGTTTAAGATTCATTTTATTTTTAAGATTGGATGACAGCCATCTTTCAAACTTCAACCTACAGGGAAAAAACAAAACAAAACCACCCTACACAGCTGACTTATGTTTGATTGCAGGTCCACCGTTGACGTCCAGCCTGAAAGTGAGATAAATTGAGATAAAGTTAGATCTGGAAGAGAAGAGTTCACAAGCAAAGCTGCAATCTAATTTTCGCTCAGACATCCAAGGAAGATTTGAACCATCTTTGGTGTTTAAACCTCTGGTGGAAACTACGAATGGCAGGAAAAATCATCATCACAGCGATAAACTCTTCAAAGACGTAAGACTTCAACAAGTAACCGTACATACCAGCTTTAACAGCCTGGAGAATCCACAGATTAGCCTTGTATCCGTGGCAATTATCTCCCTGAAAGGGAGAATACAATTTAGTTCTTAGAACAAAGACATTCAAAAGTAGAGCTACAATCCTCTAATGTTCGCTCAGACATCCAAGGAAGATTTGAACCATCTTCGGTGTTTAAACCTCTGGTGGAAACTACGAATGGCAGGAAAAACATCATCACAGCAAACATTCCCCTTCCACGTTTTAATAAAGACTGTAGCTTCACGGGCATTTAAGGAAAAAAAAAAAAAAAAAAGTCCAAGTTATAGGGGACACATCTACAACACCCCAGGACTTTAAAGCAGAGTACAAACTTGCAGATATAATTTATATAGATATACAGATATATATATTTTTTTTAATGTTCAAATGGTGAGAATTAAAAAAAAAAGAAAAAAAAGAAAAAAAAGGATCCAATATCAATTTTTGTAACTACAGTGTCAAACATCATCATAGCCAAGAACAGCTTGGAATACGTACCAGCTTCAGGAACTCTGACCACCAACACTGGTGCTGGAGAGTCTGCAGGTTGATCCTTTACAGAAACATCCATTCAGCCTGAAAGTGAGATCGAGTTTAGGTCAGTACATAAAGCAGAAAGACACAAGATACAACAGGAATTAAATGTTCGCTCAGACATCCAAGGAAGATTTGAACCATCTTTAGTCTGTAGACCTCTGGTGGAAACTACGAATGGCGGGAAAAATCATCATCACAGCGAAACAATTTCAAAAGGTAAAGTCCAAAATATTAACAAATACATACCGGGAGCAGCTTTGGTGACGCAACAGGTTTACAGCTGGTGGGCATAACTGAAGACGTTCATCCTGAAACAGAGATTGAGGCAGAGTCAGCTCTGAAAGAAGACGTGTTAATAACAAGAGTTGTCTGTGAAGGTTCTCAGTCATCAACAAGAGTTAAACTTCAAAGTGTTCGCTCAGACATCCAAGGAAGACTTGAACCATCTTTGGTGTTTAAACCTCTGGTGGAAACTACGAATGGCAGGAAAAGCGTCATCACAGCGAACTGTAAACTCCTCAGAGCAGCTGTACCGCGATCAAATGACCTTTAATAACTTACCCAGAATCAGGTGCAGTGATGCTGATCCACATCTGCTCCTCTCTGTCCAGAACTCCCTGAACCCAGCATGCTAACACGGCTGAACAACTTCATGACTTCTACTGAAGGCCATTCTCTGCAACGACTGGCAGAAACAGAAAATATGAATAGTTAGGAGCAAGAAGTGACAATCTGATTTAAAACAATATATATAAATAAAAATTCCCTTCAGTCGCTCAGACATCCAAGGAAGACTTGAACCATCTTTGGTGTTTAAACCTCTGGTGGAAACTACGAATGGCAGGAAAAA